CAGTCAGAAAAAAGCCCCCTTCAGAAAGGTAGACAATGCCGTGGGTTTGTGCTCACCCTTTTCCACCGCCTCCCCGGGCACAGCCAGGCCCCGGCTCCTCCCTCAGGCTGGAAGGAGCAGAGAGACTGTGTTTGCAGCCTTCCGGCCTGTCTGTGGGCCGCCCGAGGGACTGGCTTCTGTCTTGTCTGACTCAGAGCTCAGGGAAAAGCCACATGGTTTGGCTCTCAGGCCGTGGAAGGGAGTGGCAGGAACCGTGGCATGTGGCACCGTGGAGGGAATGCAGACCCACAGACACCTGGGGTGTGACTCAGCTTGTAACTCCACTTTTGTTTTCTACAGGATTTAAGCCACAAATGCACAAAAAAATGGTCAATCTATATTAATGGCCACACAGTATATAATGATGTAATTTGTGATATTAGTAATGTAAAGTGGAGGTACGTAGCTGTAAAGAAGTGGTTTCTGTATGTAACTGAAGTTGATAGATGTCATAGCTTTAGCATGTTATATATAATCCCCATGGTAACCACAGAGGACATACCTACAGAATATCTACACAAGGAAATGAGAAAGGAGTCACTACAGAAAATCAACCAAACACATAAATGGAAAGATATCCCATGTTCAAGGATTGGAAGGTTTATTATTGAGATGTCAGTACTACCCAAAGCAATCTACAGATTCAGTGCTATTTCTATCAAAATCCCAATGACCATTTTTTACAGAAGTAGAAAAATTCATCCTGAAATTCACATGGAGTCTCAAGGGACCCCAGATAGCCAAAACAATCTTGAACAAAGACGGAGTTGGAGGTGTCACACTTCCTGATTTCAAAATGTACTAAAGAACTGTAATAATCAAAACAATGTGGTTCTGGCCTGAAGACAGAGAGAAAGACCAGTGGAATAAAATAGAGAGCCCAGGGCCGGCCGAGTGGCTCAGTTGGTTAAGAGCTCGCTCAAGAGTCTGAGCTCTAAGCAACAGCGGTTTGCGTCCAGCCCGAGCTGAGCAGCCGCTGAGCTGCCAACAGGTAGCAGGATGGCTCAGCTAAAAAAAAATAAGAAAATAAAATAGAGAGCCCAGAAATAACCTTCATTTTTATGGTTAAATGATTTTTTTTTTAAGAAAGATTTAATTGGGGAATTGGGGGAGTGAACAGTGTTGGGGAATCGGGGAAGGGGAACAGAGAAGTTGCTGTCGTTTTGTTCTTCAGTCTAGTTGTGGAGGATGTTGCTTCACTGGCCCATGTTGGTATTATCCTTATCATGCTCTTCCCGGGCGAGGCAGATCGGTTGCCAGTCACCGGACAGCCACTCACCGGACAGCCACTCACGGTAGCTTATGGCAGCCCCCTGCAGCTCCACTGCAGCATACGCCGTCGCCAGCGACTCACGGCAGCCCAGCTCCAGGTCGAGCTGTTGTTCAGCATCTTAGCTGTAGAGGGTGCAATGTCAGTAGCCCTTACGTGGGATCCGAACCGGCGGCCCTGCTGCTCAGAGCTCGCGCTCCCCAGCCAACTCTTAACCAATGAGCCACTCGGCCGGCCCTGGTTAAATGATTTTTAACAAGGGTACGGAGGTCACTCAATAGGGAAAGGACAGCCTTTTCAACAAATGGTGTTGAGAAAACTGGACATCCACCAGCAAATGAAGATGGATGGCGGTGGTGGTTGCAGAGCAACACATATGTACTTCAGTCCTTAGAACTGTGCACTTTAAACGGAAAATTTTACGTTACGTGTTTCACCACAATTTGTTTTAAATAATACATTTTTTAAATGAGAGATGTGTGCTATTCCTCACTAATAATCAGGTAATCAGGTACCAACTAGATGTCCACTAGATAGTGTACTGATGGGTCAGTTAACTGACTTTTAATATTCAATTACTTGTTTTAGAAATGAAACGTTTAGACTTAAAACTATGTAGAACAGGAACAGGTGGTCAGTTCTAGGTGATATGTTTTAACAAAGCTTGAATTTTACAGAAAATATCCATCTAGTACATATACAAAGCATGTGTTTTTTATTTGTATTCAACTCATTCATTGACTAGTGTTCATTTTATTTGGGGATTGGAATATGGAAACAATATTTAAGGAATAATTGCATTTTGAATTTCTTATTTGCATTTTGCCATCTTAATTAAGATCTCTGCTGCATCCTAAATTAAAAACACATTTATTATAGATTTTTAAATCTACAGAACAAAAAAAGCATTGTTTGTAAATATGTAGTTTCTGTCCCCCTGAATTGCATAAAGAAGTTCTGATGGAAAAGGAGCTTAGCAGAGGACATTGATTGGTCCTGGGCAAATGTATCATCTTTTCAGAAGGAACCAGTGCACACACCTGAATCATTACATAACTTGAATCAGCTTAACCATTTTCTCTGTCATGTTTTTCTTTTGTAGCAGGACTTTCCCATAACAATATCTAGTGAGAGGAAAGTCTTTAAGATGGGAGGTGCTTTCTTTTGAGTGCTATTTAACACATAAATATCCATCGTAAAACAACAGTGTTTTCCTGACATTTCCTTTCATGTGTTATGATAACAAGAGCTGCTGGTCATGCGACCCCTGACTTGGGATGATAGCAGCTCTCAGAGCCAGTAAAACAAAGCAAAGTTTGCAGCTTTTCTGTTTGTTTGTGTTTTTTTGCAGAAGAGATTCTGAATCATTTTGAGATTAAATTTTGATAATACATCAGGTAAACTTAATACTTAGTGGTAATTTAAACATATTTAAAGATTTTTTTAAAAAAGATTTTAACATACCGCATACTATGGAACAAAATAAGTGTAGTGTTCTCTATGGCTTGGATATTCTTCTAATCCTTTTTTGAATACTGTAATTTCAAAAACATTAACATTTAGATTGGGGGGAACTCTAACCACGAGGATTCTAACGTCTAGATATGATCCAGGGTTTGGGGGAGGTCCTTTCTAACGCACATGAGAAAGACTGGCAAAATGTAAAGAAAGGTTTAGATACGTCCCCCTTTTTAACCGGAATTTATCTTCACATTAGGTAAAGTTAATCAGTGTATCTCACTTGAGTTATTCTTGTGTTACGCTGGAGTCTGTGATTTTCTGGGTAGCAAAGCCACACTGAAATAACCAACAGAGCTATTTAGATGGAATATCAGTACTCAAGGGTGAGGTCAGCTAGGCAGGGTCTAGAATTCTAGGCAAAACGTTTTCATAAATATCACAATTGATAGCACATTCATGCTTCTGGGTTATTTTTCAGATTATTAACACTGACAGCTCTCAAATGCATCATCACTGTCATATCAGTCAGTGGGGGCTGGACTGGTAAAGTAGCTCGCCAGGTTAGTAGCATTTATCTGCAAGGAAATATATGTATTTCACAATTCAAATATCTGACTCTTTCGTATGCCAATCATATGATAGCCAAGGAGTGTTTTCCCTGTGTGAAAATTATCCCACAGACAAGTGTCCCCATGTCCCCCAAATGTGCTAAGTGAAAGGAAACCAGTGACATAAAACCCTGTCCCTTGAAGCAGCAACGATCAGCTGGCCGTCACCTTCCGCTTCCTGTCAGAGGGTCATTGAGGAGCTGGCTGACTCAGGGCCATCTGGGGTAGAAGTCAGGCTGGAACGTAAGTGTCAAAATGTTTGGATAAGTCCTTTCCTTTCTGCTTGAAAATGAAATGGAGGATAGCCATCTGAAAAGGTCAAGTGTTTCACATTGTCAGCACTTCGGTTACTGATAATTGCTTAAGAGCTGAAATCAATGGCAAATGAAAGCAAACCTCAGGGAGAGAGCTGCCATGGGCGCGCACAATTAATTGCACACTCACACACATCCTCACAGTCTCAGTGGGCTGGAGAGTGCGACCTAGCATGAGTAAAGCCACAAGGAATTTCCATTCACCCATTAAACAAATATTTATTGAGTAACTAGTACGCGCCAAGCTTCATATTTCTTGCTGCTAATAGCCCTCTGACTTTTCAGGTCATTTATTTTCAGGAGGGAAAATAAAGTTTGCTATTTTTAAACCCAAATACTTCAACAGGAGAACTGGTTTTGATGGTTGTAATGAGTTTAAGAGTTGTTCAGGGAAGTGAAAGTGATAAAGGAAGACATTTTTCCTTAAGATAAACCTGGTAATAGTAAGTCCAGGTAGTAATCAATAGGCAACATTGAACTGATTTCTGGTAATAGTATCTCTTTCCAGTAAATACTTAAAATCTACTTAAAGTAGATCGCCAGTTGGGGATAGGTTGTGAGGTGGTTGATGAAAACCTCACAAAGCCTTCTTAGCTCCCTTGTTCGTGTATGACTCCAAATTGAAATTCAGAAGTGGCTTATGTGGGTCCAGGTGACAAATTGGCTTCTTGCTTTAAGTGTGAGTGTGCAGTCAATGAAACAGGTCCGTCTTACCAGAATGTATCCCGTTGCAAGAAATGCGGGGGGAAGTGGTTAACAAGAGGACTAGCCGGGTTTGGAGACGCGAGCGCCAGCTGTGGGGCAGGGAGTGAAGCCTGAGTTCCAGATGCTGCTGGGCTGGACCGGGGCGTGGCCGGGCATTCGCTGGGCTGATACCCTACGAGGACTTGAACATGACATTTGAATTAGCCCAGATTAGCGTGACCTGCACAGCAGGAAAACCTATGAATACCATGTATTGTTTTGAACATTTTTACAAGAGCCTTGGACTTTTTTTCTGCCAAAAAAGGGTGGTTCTGACCGTATTTCTGAGAAAACACTTCTCCAGTTCAGTCAGTCTAACCTTATTTAGCTGTAGCTTCTCGTTGCTGTTGGGGCAACGACTAAATAATTGGCTTCGCCTGGGGTGAGGCATGTTATTCCTCCATCCGGGTCTCAGACATAATAGTGTGCTTTTCTTTTGTTTCTTTTCTAGTGGACTTTTAAAAAAATGGGAAAAAAATGAGGTCATTCTCTTATAATTCTGTTTTTTCTATTTTTACTGTCATTGATTTCACAGACTTGTTCCCTTTCTGCCTTTTCCTCCAGTTTACTTCGGTGTCCCCAGCAGTTCCTGAATTCTTGAAAACCCCCACTACTGCGGATCAGCCCCCCACAAGGTCCACAGCGCCTGTGCTCCCCGCAAACACTGTGTCCTCAGCAAAGCCTGGGCCAGCACTGGTGAAGGTGGGTACCCCGCACACACGCTGGATTGTCTTTGCTTGTGACTGTCATCTGTGGCCTTGTGCACAGAGGACAAAGGCCTGTGTCCACCTCGCCTGCCTGCCTTGTAGCCGGAAGGCTTGAAAACAAAACCATGGGAGGACTCGCTAGACCAGGCCTTACGATTCGAAACTGCCACCTTCAACATGTGACCTGTTGTTAGTCACAGAGGAAGATTACACAGGGTAGTCTGTGCGAAACTCTGGAGCACTGCAGAAGGCCTTTGGGATCATTCTGCCTTGCCCCGGCCACCGAGACACGGCACGGGGGACAGAGGAAGGCGCAGCTGCTTTCACACAGCCCGAGAAGCATGACTCGCACCAACAGATGTCTTTAGTGGTAACATGATTTGGAGCCTTATACACAAGGTCAAACGCAGCAGTATTCCAGATCTATTACATGATGGGTTAAAGGTTTTAGAGAAGCAAGTACTTTTTTGTGATTTAGCAGATTTGGCTCGATGAAGCTTAGCTTGTTCTTCAGATAAGCTGCAGATTTGTGGCACTGTTCCTTGCATATTACTTGGTCAAAATTATTCAGTTAGAGTAAGTCACAAGGAAGATTAAAAACTTGAATATATAGCACATTTTCCCAGTGTTTTGTATTGAGAACTGCTAAATAAAGGGAGGGGGTAACCTGGAGAATAGTTGAATCATTTCAGATGTGGCTTTTGCCAAAACTAGCAGAACACAGATCTCAAACTTTTAGAACTAAAAAAGGACATTTAGAGAGCTCCCTACCTTTCCGATGAGGAGACTGAGGCCCAAAGAAGTGGAGAGACCAGGCCAGGATGGACCCAGCCCCCCAAATTCTAGTCCACCCTTCGTTCTGCTTTCCGAGCTCCCCCATTACGGGACGCTTCGGAGACATTAGCCTGGTGCATAGTCCTCACCCCCATCGGTCCCCTGGGCTAGTCCTTGTCCTTGACCTTCCTGGAGAGATGGCTGTCCTTCTACTCCAGGCTCCCTGTCAATACGGCCGAGTGTGCGTGGCTTCAGGGCATAGAGTGTATTTCACCGTCTTCTGTCACTTCGTATTGGCAGCAAGTGGCAACTGTGCCAGTAAAGTCAGCTCTTCCATCCTCGTCCACATCCCCAGCTGGGACCACTAATAGCGCAAAGAGGGTTTGGACGCCAACCCATCTTTCCCTGCAGATACTGAATATGTGTTCTCTTCACTGTGTCTGTCTTGAAGGGGCGCCTTGGTTCTAGGGCAGCTGGCACTGCTTCAGATGGCAGGACTCGGGGCTCAGTGGGAGCCCTAGGACTGGGCCAGCAGAGGAAAGGACAGGGACGTTAGGGTCCTTTTGTGAGGAGAGCTGCTTCTCACCCTCGCTTCCTAAGAGAACAGACATGTGCTGGCTAAGAGGTAGCAGCGGGTTTGGTCTGAGGGATACTGGTTCTTACGTTTCTGTCCTCTCCATCTTCATCCGGTCCCTTTCTGATTGTGGTTGGGTCTCTTAATGGTCCCATAACAATTATAGGCAAACCGCCTTAACCCAGACCCCATCCATTGTTATGATCAGACTAGAAATAAAATTTCTTGGTAACAAAATAAGCAGATGATAGGGAATTGATTAATATTGTTGAGAGTGCAGTAGGATTTTTAGCAGGCAAGAATATAGTCTGACGTGATGTATTTTAAGTGCCCAATAATTCAAGTGATTTCTAATTGGCATACACATTCATCATTTATTCAGCAGATACTTATCGAGCACCTTGTGTGTGCCAGGCACTGTCCTGGGCACAAGAAGTAGACAAAGCAATGAAAAGATCATAAAGCGCCCCCACCTCTATTAGGAGTGGGAGGTAAACGGGGGAACAAAACAGAGGGGGGTGGCTGGTGAAGAATCAAGTGAGGTTAGGGGTTGCTGGGGAGACGGGGAGACATTTATTTCAAAGAGAGTGCTCGGGGAAAATAAGCAGATGACATTGGGCAGAGATCTGAATGAAGTGAGGGAGCTGCCATGAGGATATCTGTGGGAAGGAAACTGGAAGTCACTCAACAAGGAAGCCCGTGTGACGGGGCAGAGATGGCCAAGGGGTAAAAAGTAAATGTTAATAGTGACGATCTCTGGTCTGTAGAATATGGCGATTTTAATTTTCTTCTTTATTTTTGTTTTTTAGGGGATTATTTTTGAAATTTCCTAATTCTTCGAATGTGAACATATATAACATGATCACGCCAATACAGAGGGTACCAAAAAAATGTATACACTTTAAGAAAGGAAAAAGCTACATTAAAATTGTAATACTCAATGTATTCCAAAAACAAAAGATGAATACAAGTCACATTTGACTTGTGCAATTACAAGAGGTGCTCAAAATTATGCTCAAAGCATAATTTTAATATAGTTTTTTCCTTTCTTAAAATGTGTATACATTTTTTTGGCACCCTCTGTAACTATATTTAATTTAGTATTTCTTAATAGCGTCTTAATTGAGTATTTTACCTAAAGCAACTTAGGAATAATTTCCTGTACCTTGTTTTTTTGTTTTGCTGATGGACTTTTTTTTTTTTCAGATGAAGTTATAATATGAATAACTAAAAAGTAGAAAGTTATGTGACAACTTATAAATGGAGAAGAAAACTCAGGAAAAAGTCATCTGATTCTTAATGACAAGAAGGGGTCTCACATTCCGCTTTGAAAAAAATGTAGCATTTTTGAAAATTAAAAAAAATTCATATTTACTTTACTCTGTATTTTCTTTTTGTGTATTTTCCATAGAAACACATGGCTGTATATTCTTATTCTCATTAGAAGCATTTTTCTGGTTTTGCATATTGCCCATAGAGTTTTTAATGATTATAAAACATTACATAGTTACAGTGAAATATGCTTAATCCTTTTTCTGTTGAATGCATAGTATACAACCTGTTTTTCACTAGGAGATAATAAACGTGAGCACCTAGCAGTGTGTGCACACAAGGAGACAGGAGACAGACGCAAAATGAATGTCTTCTGGGCCTGCGTAGATAGCGCTGAGCTGGGTGAGCATCTGGCCCTCAGTGTAAAGGGGACAAGGCAGCGGGAGAAATAAGGTCTTAGGAGCAAAATTCCTTGGTCACGGGCTCATGAGATGCTGTCCTGGCTCTTGAAATGTATCTAGTGTATTGCTTTCCAGGGTGGCTCCACCGGTTCTGAAGGCGCACTGCTTTTTCATTTCAGGTTACCGATTTCGCGCGGCGGCATCTTTTATAATGTTCGTATTTCCTTTTTCTCGCAAATAGCAAAGCCACCCCAAGAATCCCAACGACAAGCACCGCAGCAAAAAGTGCAAAGACCCCAAACCCCGGGTGAAGAAGTTGAAGTACCACCAGTACATTCCACCAGACCAGAAGGGCGAGAAGAGCGAGCCGCCGCTGGACTCCAACTACGCTCGCCTGCTCCAGCAGCAGCAGCTCTTCCTGCAGCTGCAGATCCTGAGCCAGCAGCAGCAGCAGCACTACAACTATCAGACCATCCTGCCCGCGCCACTCAAGTACGGGCGGGGTGGGGCCGGCGGGGCGGAGCGGGGCGGGGCTGGCTCCGTGCTGGGGCTGCTCTGTGGCTCCAAGCGGAACCACTAGTCACTGAACGCTGGGTGTTGTGATTGATTTGTGTTCAGTGATTCTTTTCATGTCTTTGCACCAGAGCTCCTCACATAGTGCGCGAATGGCCTGTACGCCAGTCAGCATTTGTTCTCCAGAGTAGGTTCTGTCTGAACTTTTCAAGTTAGAAGTGACTTTTCACAATTTTTCACCCAGGAAAGATTTGCTGATCATTTACTCAGTATTAAATGCTGTGAGAAGTACACCATAAGAAGTATAAGACCTGATACAAAGTTTTTTTGTTGTTTTTTTTAATGAGTGGAAGAGCTGGAGTCAAGGAAATTTTATGAAAAAGGCAGGATATGTATGTGAGAAAGAGCCTCAGACTTGGGAGGGGCCCCCCTGAGCAAAAGGGGAATGATGTGAGCACAAGGCAGGCGTGAGCAATGCCTGTTAGCAGGATGGTGGAAAATGGCCTGTTAAATAACGAATATGATTAACTTTTAAGAAAAGTGGAGCCAGAGTCTGGAGGGAGGACCTTGTAGGTGGGTGTCTCCGGGCCGCAGTGACGCGGTGAACTCAAAAGGCAGAGCAGTGTGACTCCAGTACTGGAGGGGAGGGAGGCTGGAAGCAAGAGAACAGAAATGCTGCAGGAAAGTTAGTGTGAGAAGAAGACAGGGCGCTGAGGATGGAAAGGAGGGTCAGTCAGTAAAAGGGCTCGGCAACCGGTGGCTGCGGAGCAGGGCCTGTTTCCAAAGCTTGAGCCCAGTTGGGAGGGACAGAGAGAGGCAGTTCTGACAGTTTCTGGGACTGAATTCATAGCAAGACATCCGTAGCTTATTTTAATTATGTAATAAAGGAAACTTCTAGATATACATCCTCAATGTGCCTTTTCTGGGAAATACATAAAAATGCAAAGCCCTTGTCCTTCATTTTGTTCACTTTTCAGGAGAAAGGGCTATTTACATTCAACTTGATAAACGAACCTCTAGAAAAAGATCAGATCTCATTACAAGGAAAAATTACTCTCTGTGGTCGCGTGATTTATAGACTCCTGTTCCCTCCATGTAGGCTGAGCATTCCTCCACGGGGAGTCCTTTTCTAGGGGAAGAAACAGTGAAGAAGACCCACTAAAAACCTTCTCTATTAAAAATGTCGCCTCACATGCTAATGATTATCAATTTACTTTCTTCTTTCAAGAACCAAATATCTCAAGGAAGATTAGGTAGATTAGTCATTCAGACTTTACTTAAATCTAAAACATAAGGGCACAGACATGAAGGAAGAAAGAATTTTTGGAGCGTGTTATTATTTTAGGAGCGAGCAGGCCTGAGAGAGTTGTTTAAGAGAACTGGGAGGGCATCAGAGGCAAACGGCCACTGCTCTGCTGCTTGTCCCGCCGCCCTGTGCTGGCCTCAGTGGTGATGGTTCGCGTTTACCTGCTTCCTGACTGCCCCCAGCAGTGTGCTCAACAGTTCCTGTCATCACCATCCCCACAGTAGTAACTCTAGGAAGACTGATCCTATTGGCCCCATTCCCAAATGAGGAAACTGTTAAACTGAAATCCCCCAGGAGGATTGTTTTGGTGGAGTCTGTCTGTGAACCAGTCTTTTCTGTAATGAAAGAAGCGGGCTGTGTGGGGTGGGCTTTGTAGATGGGAAGGGTCCCCCTGGACGCGGGATCCTGAACTCCTAACAGCTCTTCGTCTCTCCCTCGAGGCTTCAGTCTCCCTCTTCCTCTCTCTCCCGCCACCAAAGTGACCAGGCACCCACCCAAGAAAGAGATCCAGGAGCCAGCACAAGGCAGGGTCACTCATTTTTGAGGATGATTTCACCACACACAGACTGAACATCAGTTCTGTTTAATTTCCAGGTCCTAAAAATGGAGGCGTTGTTTTCTAACACACTTTATTTTTACCAAAATTCATTACAAGGAACTAAATGTAGAAGTTCTGTAGTGCCTGCAGCAGTGGAACTTGGCTGATCGCACAGCCCTTCGGTACCAGGGGGAGAACGGGAGCCCGAGGCTGTAGCCCCAGTGCGGCCACTGGCTGGGGGGCCCTGGAGGCCACGTCACCTCCCAGCCTCAGGTTTCTCATCTACACGCGATCACATTCGTCAGCCGCCCCCCTTTTCTCTTATTTCTGTTATTTTAAAGATTGAATTCAACACTAAACTGTTAATCAGAGTAACAGAGTATTGTAGAATCGCAACCAAAAAGACAGCATGAATCGAATTAACTGAAATCATGCATTCTTACATGATTTATTTAATACTCTTTAATAAATCACAGACATACACAATACATAGATGTGCAGTATGTTTATGGTAATAAAATCTCATAGGGAGGGTGATTAAGGAAAAAAGTGTCTAAAAAGGTTCCTGGTTGGGACAATAATGAATATAAGGTTGAGAAACTTGGATCTAAATAAAATGTTTTCATAATTAAAAAATAAGATTTAAAAGTTGAATTTTTAGAAAGGAAATGATACAGAAAATACGTGTCATTTCATCCAAAGTCCAAGAAACTTCATTTCAAATACTTCACGTGTCATTTCATCCAAAGTCCAAGAAACTTCATTTCAAATACTTCAAGTATTTAACCTCAACAAAATTTCAGGCAGGTTTAAAAAGACTCGAATGAATGTGACGAGTTAGCTGCTGACAAAGCCAGAACTGGCTTCAAACACAGGCTTTATGAACCTCACTGAGCTGCTAGCACCCCCTCAGACCCGATTTCAGAGCGTGGAACTGAGAGTCTGTCCAGCTTCAGTACCGAGGCTCACACAAGGAGAAAGCCTGAGGCTGCAGTGGGATTGGCTGTACAGTGTCAGCCATCGTGCCACCTCTCCTTAATGGGGACCGACCACCAGGAAAGGAAATGCCATTGTTGCTAGGAGGATCACAGAAGAAGGTGGGGGTGGGGTTGGGAGGGGAGAGGCTGGGTTTGACATGGAAAGGGGTTTAGGGAAATTAGTACAAAAGCAACCTAACTTTGGACCCTCACAACTGGTTCACCAACATGTTTTTTAATAATGAAGTATAACTTACATACAGAGAAGCCCATAAATCATAAGAGAAAACTAATGCCAAAGCAAGCAGCGCCCTGTAACCACTACCTAAATCAAGAATGGAACATTACCAGTACCTAGAAGAGCCGTTGCGTCCTCTCGCGGTGACCTTGCCAACTTCTATCCCATAGATGATCTTGCCTGCTACTGACGTTATATAAATGCAACCCCGCAGTACACGTGTGTGTATGGCTCCTTGCCCCATGTCGTTTGTGAGATGCCATCTTTATTGGTGCAGATAGCAGAGGGCAGTTTTTATTGTTGTCTCCACCCATCATACTCTTGATGGACAGCTGGGTTGCTTCCAATTGGGGCTGTTATGAAAAAACGTCATAATGAAGTTCTAGGCTGTGTCTTTGTCAGGTGTCTGCCTAGAATGGAATTGCTGGGTCAGGACAGGCATGGGCTTCTGTGTAGCAGATGCTATGAAATCGTTCTCCAAAGCATTTGTGCCAGCGGTGTCTGCGAGCTCTGGCTGCTCCAGATACTCGGTGTGGTCAGTCTCACTGTGGCCGCAGCGAAGGGTCCTCTGGGTGTGCAGCCTGTTCTGTCATGATTTTCATTTTCCTTCTGTCTACTGAGGTTAAGCACTTGTTCACTTATTTACTGACCATCTGGACATACTTGCTTGTGATATGCTTGTGATATGCAAGATTTTCTCATTGGGTTTTCTGTCTTTTTCTTACTGATTTGCAAGACTTCTTTGTATAATGGATATGAGGCCTTTGTCAGAAAAATGCATTACAGATGTTGCCCCTGTGGCTTGCCTTTTCATCCTCTTAAAGGTGTCCCTTTCAATGAGAGCTCTTTTCTGTCCTGTTTAAGAAACCTTTGCCTATCCAAAGGCCATGAAGATAGTCTCCTAAGTTTTCTTCTAAAATCTTGATTGTTTTCAAAATTCCCATTTCTCTCCCACTTGTCTGTTGTCCCATCCTGGCACCAGCATCATGCCATCTTAATAGCTGGCTTTGTAGTAGATGTTGGTGTCCGGTGGCATGACTCTCCCAGTTTTGCTTCTCTTCTTCATGGGTGCCGTGGCTGTTCTTGGTCCTTTGTATTTCCATGTAAAGCTTAGAAGCACCTTGTAAATCTCTACCAAGGAATCAAACAAAACCTGCACGAATTTTTACTGGGCTCTAATTTGACATCTTTACCATACTGAGTCTTCCAATCTATGACCATGGCTTTTTTTTCCCTCTTTATAAGCTAACAGTTACATTTTTAGTAGAAGCAATGTCAAAACCAAATTATTTTATTTATATGTTCTAATTGTCGTTTTCTTTTGAAGGCCACTCAATGACAAAAATAACAACAGTGGGAATTCAGCTTTGAACAATACCACAGCTAACACAGCAAGACAGACAACGTGTGCTCCTGTGAGAAAGCCAGGACCCCTGCCTTCCAGCCTGGACGACTTAAAGGTGATAATTCCCAGGAGAGTTTGTCCCCCGTAAGCGCCACAGGGATGTACTGACCTGCCCAATTTGTCAGGCAGACATTTGCCTCCACCAACACTGTCATATGCCTTATAGAGATACTTTCCTTTACGTCCATTAAGTTTCTTTTAGAATGGCCGGTAATAACCCGCATTTATTGAGCAAGTCCCATGTGCCGCCACCATACCAGTTCTGACTCCAGAGGCAGATTTTTTTCTTCCTTGCTCATTGCCTAGTTTGGGAGAAGCAGGAACATGTGACAGTTAAGAACCTGATCTCCAGGGCCAGCCTTTCTGGATTTCTACCTCAGCTCCGCAATCGGGTAGCTTGGATGAGTGACTGAACTCTCTCTGCCTTGATTTCCTTATCTGTATAATGGGAATAATAGTAATAATAATAACACCTATACCTCATGTGAAGCCTAACTGAAAGAATAAAGCACTTCCAACACTGTCTGGTACACAGTAATTACTCAGTAAATGTAGCTGTTATCAAAACAGGAATTACCCTCTAAAAACCCTTGCTTTACTATCGTTAGCCTTTCAAGTTCTTCAGGTCTGCAGTTGTGTGTTAAAGAAAAAGAAACAGTCCCATTTTCAGATATGCTATAATGTGGATTGTCTGACAGATGTAAGCACCATTTTTTTCTGTCAGAAAAGTGTCCTGTAGATTTGTGAAAAAGTTGTAATACCAGAAGCAGGGAGCTGATTTATTTGTACTTCCAGGTATCAGAACTGAAGACAGAGCTGAAGTTAAGGGGTCTTCCAGTGTCAGGCACCAAACCAAACCTGATCGAGCGCCTGAAACCCTACCAGGAAGTGAACAGCGGCGGCACTGCTACTGATGGCGTCGTGGCAGTGTCAGCATCTGCCGTCATCACCAGTAGCCCAGAGCTCACCAAGGCATTGCCAGTGACCACACTACACAGCTCTGTGACTAGCGCAGGCTCCACTTTCAAGGCGGAGTTGCCATCTGCTGGAAGCGGCAGCACAGCCCACGTGGAAAATGGTAGTTCACCTCTGCCCATCTCGCCGTCTCCCTCCGAGCAGTCCAGTTTCAGTGCCGAGGACACAAACATGGCGGACACCTTCACCGAGATTCTGACAATGATGTCTCCTTCCCAGTTCCTGTGCTCCTCTCCTTTGCGAGTGACTGGTAACGAGGACAGCCTGAGCCCCACCAGCAGCACGCTGTCCAGCCTGGAACTGGATGCGGCGGAGAAGGACCGCAAGCTTCAGGAGAAAGAAAAGCAGATCGAGGAGCTGAAGAGGAAACTGGAACAAGAGCAGAAGCTCGTGGAGGTTCTCAAGATGCAGCTCGAGGTTGAAAAACGAGGGCAGCAGCAGCAGCGGCCCCAGGAATGCCAGTCCAGCACCCCCGGGAATCCTGTCAATAAGTTAGAGACGCATGGCGGTGTCGCTTCCTCTGTCAAAGACGAGACCAGCTCGCTCACCGACTGCTCCAGCCCCCGGCAGCCTGTCCCTGCAGCCCCGCCTGTCTCTGCGGGTGGCCAGACCCTTGGTGCCAAAAAGGCTGTAGTGATCAAGCAGGAGGTGCCCGCGGTGCAGGCCGAGCAGCAGACCATCGTCCCCCAGTTTTACGTGAGCGCCCAGGGACAGCCGCCGCCTGCCGCCGTCGCCCAGCCGCAGGCCTTGCTGACCACGCAGACTGCTCAGCTGCTGCTCCCCGTGTCCATCCAGGGCCCCAGCGTGACGTCGGTGCAGCTCCCTGTGGGCGGCCTCAAACTCCAGGTGTGAAGGGTGGCTTCTCAGTACTTTGCCTGACAGCCTGTGAGAACGGAGGCTCTGCTAGTGAGGACATTGGGGTTCCCATAATAGATGCATGCCCATCAGGCTTCAGAGATGCAGACGTGTGTGTGTGTGTGTGTGTGTGTGTGTGTGTGTGTGTGTGTGTGGTCAAAAATTTGAATATCCCTTTCTATACAGTAAAAACAAACAAGGGGCGCTTTCTTGGGGGTACCTTTTACTTCTGACACAGTATCGTATAGGTCGACATTTCTAAATACCTGTGACATTATCATAATAATAGCTACTGTCACCGAGTACTTTTTATACAGAAGGCACAGCACCAAGTACAGTAAGTGGCTCACTTCATTTAATCCGTGCCCCGCCCCCCTGAAGATTCTAGTAATAGATAAAACTATTTGTAGACAAGGAAACTGAGGCCCTTGAAGGCTTGGCACCTTGCCCAAGGGCAGCCTCGTGTTTAAACCTAGGCCTTCCGCCCTCCTGTAGTCTGCCTCCCAAATGGAGTTTTTGAAAGGCACCATTCACTCAAGATGCCTGCACTAAGGAAAACGTGACCCAGACCCAGGAATGAGGATGTTATGGAGAGATTACTGGTGAGACTCCTTTGAGGCCCACATAACCTGTGCACTGGCCTTAAACTGGCGGTATGTGGCGTGATTTGGGCAGGTTTTAACAAAATGGCCCCAGTAAACAGAAACCACTTGGAGCAGTGTTGCTCAACCTGACCACCCAAACCCCCTGCCCCCGAGTAGAGTGAACCCCCAGGGTTAGGAGGCATGACCCAAAGGCATTTGCAAAAATCCTAACTCCCGGTTTAATGTTCAGAGTGTCTGTGAAATGCAGGCTGTTCTTTAATATAGTTTTTCTAAACATTTTTTTTCTGTCCGAATCTCCCATTCAAGTTGATGTTCTAGGAAGAAGAACTGTGTTTCACTCTGGGCCTGTGTGCCTGGCACCTGGCTGACTGTCCCCAGCGATGCTTCGCACAGCTTATCCTCACAAATGTCCTGCTGCTCTTAAAATTATTGTGACACCTGACCTAGGTGCACCTGCTACGGGTTCTTTTTATTTGTTTCCTATTTTCCCAAAATTTTCAAAGGAAAATCTGAGCCACTTAAGGAACAATAAGAGCATGAAAAGAACTGTCTGGTGTTTAACTCTGGTTTAGAATTGTTGCAGCTCAAATTGGTGGTGATGAGCTGAAGTGTGTATCTATAAACATTTTATCTTATTTCAGATATGTCCCCAAGTGACCAGTTATTCTACATCTAAACTCTTGATTCAAGCTTTGATTTTGACTTTTTATTTTTTTTGTCTCCTAGACGCCCCCGCAAACAGGAATCCAGGCTCAGCCTCAGAGAGCGACCACTGCCTTGTCCTCAGGCTTGGCCCAGACTGGACCTCCGAAACAAGACCCGTTCACGCCGCACGTGCTCAGTCAGCCGCAGCCAGTCCGAAAGGTGGGTGAATGCTACCCAGTGACAGCCCTGCTGGTTTGGGCTGGCATCTGCTCTTTCCTGTGACCCATCCCCCATCACGGGAGTCTCAGGTCAGATGCCACCTGGCTGCGGGCTATCCAGTTATTTGGGAAAGAGAAAGAGTCCTTTATTACTAAAAGGTAGTTTGTCTTAACTGCTAAACTCCTTTTCCAAGTAAAATTTTCAAAGGTATGTTTTTATCCTTGTATATAGAATTTCCTAGGTCAAATTACTCATTTTGTGAAAACAAAAAGTGCTGTTTCCTGGGAAAAGATATTTCACGATGAAAAAGATATGTTCTGAAATGTTTATCTGGAGTAAGATCTTTAAGTATATATATATGTTTTTTAATTTATTTTTTATTATTAGTTTCAGATGTATAAAACAATACAATAGTTATCCTTTTCACCCCTCACAAAGTGACAACCCCCTCCCCCATCAACTGTCCCCCACCCCCGATGTCATACATATCTATTACAATTCCATTGACTCCATTCCCACACTCTACTCCACATCTCATGACTATATATGTATATATAATTATAGTTGACATACATTATTATATGCAGTGGTCAGACGTCTACCGTCCATGAAGTGGCCTCCCTAACAAGACATGAGTCCATCTGGCCCCCTAAAAAATATTTACAGCATTATTGATTATATTCCCCAGATTGTCTTTTCTATCCCTGAGGCCATATTGTAGTTACCAGTTTATGTTGTCTAATCCCTTCCCCTTCTCCCTCATCCCCACCCCCCTCCCATCTAGCAACCATCAGTTCTTCCTGTGTCTCTGAGACTATTTCTGTTTACATTTCTCATTTATTCAGTTCTTTAGATTCCACATTTAAGTGAGATCATGTGGTATTTGTCTTTCTCTGACTGACTTATTTAAGTATATATTTTAAGAGTTTGCCATCTCACAGGTTAAAAGCCAAGCCTAGGTCTGGTTATCATCCTGGGCCACCACTACGTGTTGGCCCTTATGCACAGTCCCTTTTTTTCGCTGAGTGTCAGTTTCCTCATCTTTAAAATGATGGTGGTGACCTACGCCTTAGCGTCCTATGCCTGAGTTCCCACCCAAAAGTTCAGATGTTTAAGTAGCCCCAAAGTTACCAAAATGCCCACTTATCCAGCAGGTGGCGCTGTGAGTACAGCGCCTTCCCAGAAAAATCTTAAGGCCTCAAAAATAGGTCTTGCTATTTTAAACCTTGAGAATTGTTAGTCCCAGAGTTTTCATCTTCAACATAAAAGAACCTAGATAATTAGGTGTGCCTGTAGATACACCCCAGGGTGGTGTGAGCTATGTGCTCTGACAGCTTGAGGGACAGACAGAAATGACCTCTCGGCCACCAGTGGCCCCATCAGCACAAACGCTGTCTTGGACCCTCCCCTGAGAGATGCAGAGAGCACGGAGCTCTGGTTTGGGCTCAAGATAACATTTTAGTGTAGTGATAAGCTTAGTGAACATTCAAACGTTAAGACAGTTTTGTTTTACGGAAGAGAAATAATATATAGAAAGGATAATAAGGGCTTATTCTGTAAGTCTCAAAATATTAGAATTAAGAATCATTACTTCCAATTTAAAGAAATTTTTTTTTACCAAATATAAGGAAACTCACCTTTTCAAAGAGAAATATACTTACAGAACTCGTCACCCAGAGTTGTACTGTTCAGCGTGATATAAACACACACATATATATTGTCATGCTTAAAAAGTATATTTATAGTAAAAATATAGGGGATAAGTTTTTCTCTTTCAGGGTACTAGTGGCATAAGGTATAAGTATTTTTATAAGCAAACCAGTTCCATGAAATACAGTTAAATATCATGGCCATATTTTGTACAAGGCCCTAAAACCTTTGGCTTTTCATGGGGGCAAATAAAACACTTTGTAGTTCCACAGGAAGAAATTCTGCCCTCCGCCTGACAGAGCAGAAGCTTCTTGGAAGGGGACAGATTTTAAATGGGGCTTTGCAAGGATTTGGAGAAATGTTCAAGAAACTAGAAGACTGAGTGTGGCCACAGCATGTGTAGCCTTTTGAGCAGATGGAAAGGGGGCCAGGTAATAAGAAGGGTCACACACGAGCCAAAGACTAGGATTTTACCCCAAAGATAGGAGCCAGTGAGGGTGGGGGCTCCACCAGGCGTGTGTGCTAAGACTCTCACTGGGTGGAGCACAGGTAGGTGAGGGCAGGTTCAGGGAGAGACAATAAATTAGGACAGCGGAGAACAGGCGTGGTTGAAAAGGCTTTTCTAAGATGTGTAAGCACGGAGGGCGAGAAGGCAGGCTGGACTCATGGCTCCACTTGCTAAAATTCAATGGCACAACCAGGATGTACTTTCCCTGGAAGGCTAGGGGTGGAGGGAAGAAACGGGGGAGTTGAGTTTGGAATGTATTCAATTTGAGATACCTCAAATTTGTCTGTAAATGTTATAAATGTGGCTTTGGCACTTGGGAGCAAGGTTGGAAGAGAGGTGGGCTTGGGGATTATCAGATTAATCGTGAACCTTAAATATAGCCACGAGAGTAGATGGGACCCCCCTAGAGAGGAATATTACAAACTCAGCCGTCATGAGGAACATTACACTGAGCACTAACCACACTGCCATCAGACAGGCCACTGAAGATCGGGGATCAGAGGGCAAGCTGGGCTGTGGGCCTACTCCAGCCCCCCACCAATCTGTAGATAGAGTTCTGTGGGAGTCCAGCCCGCCCACTCGTTTGTGTGTTTCCTGGCTGCTTCTGCCTGCAGCGGGAGACCACATGGCCCGCGAACCCTTTCTCTGTGGCCCTTTGCAGAAATTGTTTGCCGGCCTCTCTGCAATACAGTTTTCTTTAGCAGGTAAGGCAGAACCCACTGATGGGAAAGCATGTCTCCCCTGCAGGTGTTTGCAAACTCGGCAGCCAGCACAGCCCTCCCGTATCCGAGACCCCCGGCCCCTGCGGGCCAGCAGCCCTTCCTGAACAAGGCCTCCAGCAGTGTTCTCCAGTCCAGAAGCACACCCCTCCCACCCCTGCAGAATGGGCCGAACCCTCCCAGCAAGGTAGGTAATCCTGCGGGAACTGCGGTGACGGCTTCCTGGGTGCAGAGCCTGGAGCTTTAGGCTGGGACAACGGAGGAGCAGTATTCATGGGGGGAACAGCTGGAAATTCCCTGTTGTCAGGGGACAGTGAGCCCGCGTCACAGTGAGGACGCCCACCTGTGCCGTCAGCCTCACAGCTCAGGTCGGAAGCCTCGGCGGCTTTGATTCTGTGGTTTGGCCGCTGTGTAAGGACCCATAGGGTGGAGCCGGCCAGGCCATGAGGACGCTTACTGCCCAGCACTGACCTGTGCTCCTCTGTCTGTCACAGCCTAGCTCGCCCCCTCCATCCCAGCAGTTTGTCGTCCAGCACTCTCTGTTTGGGAGCCCAGTCCCCAAGACGAAGGACCCTCCCCGCTACGAGGAGGCCATCAAGCAGACACGCAGCGCCCTGTCCTCCCTCCCAGAGGTAAGCCAGGCCCGGGCATCGAGGTCCTGCACTGAATCGAATCCCTTTTCTAAGAGGACTTGCCTCAGTAGAAACACAAATTTCATAGTTAGGAGCGTTCTTTGCATTTTAAATGCAACTTTAAATAAAAATATCCTTTGCTATGAAGACTCCGACTTCCAAATGGATTTCAGGAGCCCTAACCTGCAATTACTCAGAAATTCCAGATTCACCTTTTAATTTTTCCTTTGGAGCCCAGGGCTGGCTCACTGGGATAGAGGTGGTTGTTGTACTGGTCTCTCTTTTTTCCTACATAAGCTCCTCCCTTATGTGAGACTGACACCTTGATAGTCATGGGAAATGGAGACAAATCTAAGCACTGACCAGGTCTCCTAAATTCTCGTCGATTCAGGGAGACATTGGTGTGTCTAAGGGTTTGAAACAGTCTGCCGTCAGTTTTTCCTTCACACTCCTGAAGAGCTTGTTACTGATGTGTCATTTAACATGTTTGCATAACTTGTTTTCTAATTATAAAAACGTGGGATTTCCAAATTTTCTAATAGAAAAACAATCATCAGTGGTCCCCGGGTCCTTCTGTTAACATTCTGCTATATATAAGTCTGTTTTTATGTCCTTAGAATTTTTTAAATGTTTACTGGATCGGCTATATACAGTACTTTTTTTTTTTCATTGAATGTGTACATATTTTAATTCTTATCTTCCCACCCCCTCACCTTTGGCAACTATTAGCTTGTTCTCTACATCTGTTTATTTCTGAGATTTAATTTCTCTGAGTAGGAAAAGGGAATGGAGATGGGAAGGAAGGCGGCGGGAAGCCAGATGCTCCCACGAAGGGCAGTTTTAATTTTCGGGGACACCTGGCCTACCTGATGCTGCTGCTTCCCGGTGTGGAGCATACTGACTGCACATTCGCATAACTTACACAGTGGTCACCCTGAGATTGGCAGCTTATCTCAGACGTTAGGCTCAAAGAAGAGACGTAAGAAGGTTAGATGACATCCACTGGTGGCAGACGAAGGGACGGGACAGCGTAGCGGTGAAGCCTCGGGGTTGCTCTCAAGGTGAAATGGAGAAACAGACACCTCTTTTACACGGTGGGTTCAGGGGAGTCATCAGTGAACGTTTACAGAGGGATGGCATGCAGGGAACACGATAGCAGCCGGCGGTTCAGTGGTCTGTTCAGGCGGCTGTGCCTCTGAGGAGTGAGAAGAGAACACTGCTGGGTTCTCCTCGACACACAGAAACAGCAGGCAGGGCTCACTCACAGGAAATGCGACCGCTGCTCCAGGCCTGAGACGCTGCGACCCCCGACTGGCCCAGGTGGGAGTTGCAATCAGACCATCCTACGTCTCTGAGTTTGTCAGGCCTGCCGTGTGGCCCTCTGAGCTTGTCAGGTTTATTGCATCGCCCCCTTTTTATTCAAGAAAGAAAGGAAGGAGGGAGGAGAGAAAGGGAAGAGGAAAGATTATAGGATGAGCTGAATCACAGAATCACCTCCGGTTGGGACGGTCTGTGATGTTTCCTGGTAGCTGTGATTACAAGAATGAAAAGCACTGCTCAAATGTTAAATGGAAGTGTTAGTGCCCATAACTCGGAAATTAGCCGTGACACTGGGAGTTTGGGCTCCAAAGCCAAGAGCCAAGATTGGGTAAGCCACGGCCCAGCTTCAGGACAGCGCCATGGTGGCCTTGTATTGCACACGTTGTCTGGTCACCTGACGTCCCATCTGGCCCAGCATCGCGCCCCACCCACCCAATGCCACAATCTCGGTCCCAGCTGCCCCTAACGTCTCCTGCTGCAGTCAGAATGCATGAGGCAGAGGGACTAGGACTTATGTTCTCAGCAGCGCGAATCTGCTCAGAGCTCCTGGTGCAGCAGCCAGACAGGAGCCAGCAGAGGCGCCACTCCTCTCAGGTCCATGCAGTCATTTGAAGAGGGCCCTGGCCATTGTCTGTGAACGGGACCTGGCCGCATGCTGAGCTGTCTCACAGCCTGTGCAGCCAGCACGGGCGGGGGTGGGTGGGGGGGTGGGAGGAGCTTACTGCGGCACTGTCCCCTCACAGCAGCCCCCATGCGATGAGTGGCAGGCTGTGTGCCTCCTACATTCTGAGGCTTCTTAAACGTCAGGCGTTGAAGGAGCCGCAGCACCCTTCTCAGGGCAGGCGCCAGCTTGTAACTTGTCCCCACTTCACCTTGTAGCCTGCTCCCTTCTCATTAACCACATAGTTCATAGTTCACAGCCCCAACTAGGAAAAAAGATTCGAATCTAACCTTGTCGTTGACATGATTTCCCAGAAGGGAGACTAAGCAGAGGGACAGTGGCATTGCGGTTGTGGTCCAGGCTCGAGTCAAGCCGATCTGGGTTCCAGGGCAGCTGTCTACTCAGCAGCTGCGGCCTCAGGCAAGGTCTTCGTCTCCCTGAGCGCGTTTCTTCATCTGTAAGATACTGTACTCTTACCTACCACTCAGGGGCGTTGTAAGAATTACATTAGTGTATTGTAAGACCTCTTGTACTGGGTCTAGCAGTTTCGGTGGCTCAATAAGTGGTAGGTATTGTTGTTATGGTGACTGATGATTATGGAAATATGCAAACAGCCAACATTCTCAGATTGAAATGGTTAGAGCTAATACTAAGGAAAAATACATACATGAGGTGAAAATTGGCTGTTGAAAACTGGCCATTGATGGTATGGAAAATGAACAGGATTTGGAGGGAAAAAAAGACGGATTTTCATTTCCGTTCTGACACTTGAGCAATTGCTTTCTTGGAGGGCGGGGCAAGGATAAGTCATTCAGAAAGTCCAGTTGTTTCTATCGCCACGTGTACCATGGGGGTGGTGACGGGCTACTGGTACCGGGAGGCACAGAGGGGACAAGAGTGTGGGAGCGTCTCGATACGCTGACAAACGCCGAATGTCGTCCGACCATCATGCCTTTGAACCCTGTCCTCGTGTGAGCCCCTTTTTCCTTCCTTGATCTTGGGTTACCAGGCTGCTGCTTCCAGCACGTGGCAGGTGCTCTGTAGATGAACTCGCAGCTCCTGCTACTCTGGTGGCACCAGTCACTGGCTGTCGCCCAGATGCTCTCACCCCTCTCACCCCGACCTCAGGGAAAGCTGCCTCACCTGGCTGCTGGGCACGAAAAACTAATCGAATCAAATACTTGTTCCACAGAGTCTGCACTTCCGTGTGCAATGACCTGAAACAAACAGTAATTGTAGGCAGTGTTCTCGGCCTTTCCTGTGCGTGGAAATACATGGGCATTTTTAAAACTATATTCTGATTAACAGGTTCCAGGAGTCATCATTTCTCTTTTTCCATGTGATTGTGGGAAAAGCTGTGGGGACTGTCAGTCTGGAGGCAGGACCAAGTCTGTGGATTGGGGGGACAGATTGCGGGGAGGGCGCCCCTGCTGGCCAAGCTGGGAGCTGCCCATCTCCCGAGGAGTCAACAGCTTCCTGCTCCAGCCTCCTCGCCACAGCCACAGCGCTGGTCATTCTGTGAAGCCACACTCGGGTCTATTTCAGTCGGCTTATTTCCTGCAGCACCCACCTTCCCTTCACCAATTCTCTGCACCTTGACCAATCCCCTGTACTGCTTACGCACCTTTCTTTCTTCTTGGAGGTCTTTCTCACCCCTTCCCCCGGCCTCACCTGGCCAACTTCGCATCTGCTCCAGGTATCGTCTCGTGGGCAGATTTACCCCGAGACCCTCCCGGCGAAGCTTGGGCCTCCCTCTGGCATCTCAGAGCACTTATTACAGGAGTGAATTCAGATCAGTGCTTTGCATGTTTTCCTTTCTGTTAGACGGTGACTTCCTGCAAGATATGATGACATCTGATTTATTTCTGGACCCCCAGCGCCTCACAGATGTAGGTGACATTCTATCTTAGATCGCCATCTTCTTTCTCTCTTCTTTCCTTAATGGAAATACACCAAAAGCTCAACCTCCCCACTATTCTCTCCTCCACCTGTCCGCTGTTCTTCACCCACCTCCTTTCCCTTCCTGTCCTGGAAGCACTGCACACCCTGGAGGTCAAAGTCAAGGGTGAAGACAGTGTGGAGTAAGAACACGGGGGTGGCTGTGTGCACGTGGTGGAGCACTCAGGCTGGAGGAGAAAGCTCACGCTCTTTTAAAAGGATTAACATTTCTGCCAGCAGTGAGCAGCTTAGAAAAATTCAAACACAGGAGATCACAGATGACTCATGTCTGAAGGAAAAGGGAAGGAAGGAACTCCATTTCCTTTCTGGTGAGGGAGGCAGTTCGGTCCACAGGCGAGGGAGGCTGACACCCTGACGCAGGCCTAGGATGCCTTTTCCTGCAGACACTCTGTGAAAGAACAACAGCCTTTCAGATCAGTTGTCACAAGCCTCTGTGCTCAGGGGTGGACACCTGACCTACAAGTCTGGCTCATTTTTCTTCTGAAATAGGAAGAACAGGGCTCACTTTAGACTTCTGGCTTGTGTGATGGACCAAATGCACCGTCCACATTCATCCACGGAAAGGCACTCCCCTCACGTACCTGTTAAGGATGGGCGATAGCTGCCAAGACATTTTGTTACAATTTGGTACGTGCCTTTCATCCACACTGGAGCATGGATGAATGCACCTCAGGAACTAAAGGCTGGCTTGGACCAGCTGCTTATCCAAATCTTTTGGGAGCCATCCCAGCGCCTCACATGTCAGGAGCTGAAAGGAACCACTTTCCTCAGGAGCTTTCAGGCATTTCCGGTGAGATCCTGACTAACGCTAAGAACAGGTTTTTCTCGGGGTTTTGGCCCTTCCCCCAAACTTTACAGCACCTTTCTCTAAGGTGCCATCCAGAAGCCTGGGTGCAGTGTGTCTCCCTGGGCCTCTGAAAAGCTGAGTCTAGACTATCCATGTCCAGATGGAGGTGCTCACCATGTAATGAAAGACAGAAGCATTACCTGTGGTGGGATCAGTGAATGACGTGATGTATTCCTTCTGTGTCTTTCTTATTTTTGTCCTTCTTAACAAATCCAGGTTCCACACTTAGGACCTTGGATATAAAATTCAATTTAATTTTGCTTTTTTAGCTCCTTTTAAAAAAATTAAGTTGATAGATATGCTGATTTTAATTTTTCATAACTAAAATTCAGTTAGCTTTGGATTACGTGCCTCAACTGACAGATTCCTCAGTAACAGAGACACTTGGCCTGCATAGAATGAATGTTCTAGAATCACTGGACAGAGAAGCACTGAGGGAACATGCAGATGGTGCAGTTCCACACTTAGCCCCTGACTAATTATCAGACCAGAGCGCCCAGAAATAAACCCACACCTATATGGTCAATTAATCTAGGACAAACAAGGCAGGAATATACAGTGGGGGAAATCAGTCACTTCAATAAGTGATGTTTGGAAAACTGGATACATGCAAAAAAATGAAACTAGATCACTTTCTTACACTATATGCAGAAATAAACAAAAACTGGATTAAAGACTTAAATGGAAAACCTGAAACCATAGAACTAGAAAAAAACACAGGCAGTAAACTGTCTGACATCGCTCTTAGTAATATTTTTTTAGATGCTCCTCAGGCAAGGGAAACAAAAGAAAAAAACAAATGGGACTACATCAAACTAAAAAGCTTTCCACAGTGAAGGAAACCATCAACAAAACAAAAAGACACCCTACTGAATAGGAGATAATACTTGCCAAAGATACATCCAATAAGGGGTTCATATCCAATATATAAGGGACTCATAAACTTATCACCAAACAATCCAATTAACAAATGGGCAGAGGACCTAAATAGACATTTCTCCAAAGAGGACATACAGATGGCCAATAGACATATTGCTCAATGTCACTAATCAGAGAAATGCAAATTAAAACCACAATGAGATCCTGCCTCACACCTGTCAGAATGGCCATCATCAATAAATCAACAAACAAGTGCTGGCGAGGATGTGGGGAAAAGGGAACCCTCATGCACAGTGGGTCTCAGCCTTCCTAATGCCGCGACCCCTTAATCCAGTTCCTCATGTTGTGGTGACCCCCCAACCATAAAATTATTTTCGTTGCTACTCTATAACTGTAATTTTGCTACTGTTATGAATCGTAATGTAAATATCTGATATGCAGGATGTATTTTCATTGTTACAAATTGAACATAATTAAAGCATAGTGATTAATCACAAAAACAATATGTAATTATATATTGTGAAATATTTATTTCTAATTACAAATAAATGAAATTTTGCCCTGAAGCATGGAGATGGATAGAGGAGCGGTGTCTCAGTTCCTAAGACCATCGAAAATATGCATTTTTCCGATGGTCTTAGGTGACCCCTGTGAAAGAGTCGTTCGACCCCCAAAGGGGTCGCGACCCACAGGTTGAGAACCGCTGCTCCTGCACTATTGGTAGTTTTGGAAATTGGTGCAGCCACTAAGGAAAACGGTATGGAAATTCCTCAAAAAATTAAAAATAGAACTACCTTATGACCCAGCAATTCCACTTCTATTTATCCAAAGAAATACAAAACACTAATTTGAAAAAATATATGTACCCGTGTTCCCTGCAGCATTATTTCCATAGCCAAGATATAGAAGCAACCTAAGTGCCTATCAGTAGACAATTGGATAAAGATGTGACATACATATACAATGGAATGTTATTCAGCCATAAAAAGAATGAAATCTTGCCGTTTGTGACATCATGGATGGGCCTAGAGGGTATTATGCTAAGTGAAATAAATCAGACAGAGAAAGACAAATACAGTATGATTTAATTTATATGTAGAATCTAAAACACAAACAAACAAACAAAACTCAGATACAGAGAACAAACTAATGGTTGCCAGACGGGAGGTGGTTTGGGGGGCTGGTTGAAAAAGGGGAAGTGATCAAGAAGGACAAATTGCCAGTTATAGAAACACTCATGGGGATGTAAAGTACAACATAGGGGATAGAGTCAGTAACACTGTAACGACTCTAAATGAGAACAGATGGGTGATCACTTCTAGGGTATGTAAATGTCAAACTACTGTGTTGTACACCTGAAAGTAATATTGTATGTCAACTGTAAATGAAAGATAATTTTAAAAAACATCCATTTCTGTATTTACCAAACAGAAAAGAAAGCATATGTCTATACAAAGACTTGTACACAAATGTTCACAGCAAGTTTATTTGTAATAGCCCAAAACTGCAAATAACCCAAACAAACTAGTATTTCCTTACAAGGAAAATCTTCTCAGCAATAAAAAGGAATGAACTAGTCCTAAGGTATACTGTACAACATGGATAAATCTCAAAATTATATTACGTGAAAGAAGCTCCCCCCCCCCCGAAACAAGGGCATCCTGTATGAACCCATTTATATCAAACTCTAGAAAATGTAAACTAATCTGTAATAAAAGAAAGCAACAGTGGGTTGCCTGGGGATGAGGGAGGCATTATTAAAAAGGAAACTATGGGCAGTGGATATAGTCGTTATCTTGGCTTTGCTGATAGACCTGTGGGTGAATACATTTGTGAAACTGTGTACTTCATATAAGTGCAGTTTACTAGATGTCAGGTTACTCTCAATAAGGCCCCTTAGGGTTCCCAAGTGTCTGACGCGTCTGGGTTTGTGTGAAAGCAAGCTAATCTGGATTCTGCTCTGTTGTAGATTTCCAGCGCCCACAGCCAGCATATGGACGACCTCTTTGACATCCTCATCAAGAGTGGAGGTGGGTCAGGTCAGCCACATCACACCCTCCTCTCTGAGCACAAGTTTGAGGGCTTTCCTCTAGAGCTCACGTCTTCTAACTCTAACTGAAGTTACTGTTTTAACATCTGTTCAAGTTAGGCCAGTAAAACAACTGATACATGGAGGAAAAGCCCTTGTTTCAGGTTTAAAAAGTAAGATGATGTTAGATTCATCCACAGATATACACCTGCTGAAAAAAACACCATCTCAAAATAGCAAAGTAGAACCCGATTTAAATTCCACACTGAAAAACTTCAAAACTTGTTCCATAGTTGTATCAGTCACTGGGATGGGATAAAAACATTCCAGTTCGGGAATTCATTGTATAACAACCAATTTACCCAGCTCGGGTTCTACACAGTCACTTTGTTACTATTCAAAGGCAATTCTAAAGTACTTTCTACATATACCTGAAAATCTTATATTTTACAATGTATCATCTTAAAAAGGGATAAGGGGTATAAACCACACACACACACACACACACACACACACACACACACAATGCAGGATCTCTCTACTTCAGCTTCCATATCTTTAAAAATAAGTATAAAATCAGTATTTCCAAAATGTAGATGCTATTTTGGAATATTTATTCATAAATTTCCCTAGTGAAGAGTTTTAGTCCGATTTTTAAATAGTTATAAAATCTCTCCATTCATACCATACTATATGATTTTGAGGCTAATGACCTTGTAATGTTTGATATTGGAATACAGGTCTGCATGTGCAAACAGCATTTTTTTTATTTTTTGGCTAGGAACTATATTGGCCTTACAAAACAATTTAAACTCATATGTAAAACTATAGACATTCCATGCCCTGAATTTAAAAATTTTTAAAATGTTTTTACCGAATGTAGTAAAAATACTTTTAAAAATGATTTAAAAGAATAATTTTTACAGCCTAAACTTGGAAATTAAAATGACAAAGTCATCACACAAGTGAGTTATTTTCTAAAAGGAATGATTTTTTTTTTTTTATGGTCAAGTGTCCAATGTGTGTGTTATTTCATCTTAGTGTAAACTAATACCAGTAATGATGAGAACAGATTTAAATAGTTGATTATAAGACTAGTTACTTAGATTGCACTGTCAGCTTTCAAAACCATTCCAGAGATGATTACAGAGAATAAAAAGGAACATAAAATGTCCTAAAAACACACACAGTCCACACAGTGGACAGTTCACACAAAGGAAGCAACACTTCCGGTTTTTCTCACCTATTTATGTATCCCAACCATTGAGTGGTAAGAGCTGTCATTAACTCCCTTTTTCCTAGTGTATTCCTAGTGTACCACATCAGACCCATAAAAGTAAAAAAGCTAGCTACATATATTTGAATGAAATGAACACTGGTGTCTATAGCAGATGGCCCATTAATTTGCTTGATCTGGTAAAAAATAACACATAATTTGTGCTTATTAAGACATTTACCATCCTCAAGATTTTATATAGATTCAAAAAATAAGACAAAGTGAGCAAACTAAGGTCAGAAGAGCCATGTTGGCTGTAATGCAGCAGTGACATAGGTGGCCTTGTACCTTTCAGAACTTCATACAGAATGCATATGGCTGACTGGCACACAGTTCAACCGTCACGACAAAGGTCTCATGGTGTGAAGGGGGCTTCAGGCTGCACACACTCGGGCGAGCACAGGACAGGAGCCCCTCTGAAGCCCCAAAAGGCTGAGAATAGGACCCCACGGTCAAGTGGTCTAAAACCCCGTGGGGTGTAACTGCTTTTACTGCTTACTCTTACTAACAGAATTAAACGCATATCAGAATGTTATAAGCAAACGTTTATCTGATTTAAATGATCTGTCACCCTAATGGTTATCAAAGACCAATGGCACTGTCTGCCTACCTCTAAGAGGGACTGTGTATAAATCCCCACAAAGTAATTGCCTTAGTAATGAATAAAAATTTTAAATAGTAGTAAATCTTTGCTTACTAGCTGCGTATGGTATTTTGCAGAGATTTCCCTCCCTATAAAGGAAGAGCCTTCTCCTATTTCCAAAATGAGACCAGTGACAGCCAGCATCACCACAATGCCAGTCAACACAGTGGTGTCCCGGCCACCACCCCAGGTGCAGATGGCACCACCCATCTCCTTAGAGCCTATGAGCAGTTTATCCGCCTGCTTAGAGAACCAACTAGAAGCTTTCTTGGATGGCACTTTACCTTCAGCCAATGAAATCGCTCCGCTGCCGAGCAGCAGTGAAGACAGGGAGCCCTTCTCTCTGATACAGGAACTGCACAGTGAACTGCTGAGTCACTCGGGCGTGCTGGACCCTTCGCACTCACCCATGGAAACCTCCGAGGCCCAGTTTGCGGCAGGTGCCCCCTGTCTATCACTGGACCTTTCAGACTCGAACTTGGACAACATGGAGTGGTTAGACATCACTATGCCCGCCACGTCGTCGGGCCTCACTCCTCTCAGCGCAACCGCGCCAGCTATGTTCTCAGCTGACTTCCTAGACCCCCAAGACCTACCACTGCCATGGGACTAATGCCACAGGCTTCTCGTCTCACAGCTCATGAGGTTTAAGAGGACGAAGATGATTCTAGAAGGTCAGTGTTTAGAGACAGAGCCACTGTTGCAATTAAAATATGTTGTCACAGAAAGGTCGGATTGTCACAGCCTGGGAACCAAGTTGGAGACGATTTCACTGCCTCCAGCAGTGAGTGTCTGCAATCTGACATGCACAGGCCTTCTGAGCAGCCCCTCGTCAAGGAAGACTCACCTGCCTTCCCCCAACTCAGTAACGAACAGAAAACATCTTAGATAAAAACATACAGAAGAGGATAACGCCATGAGGTTCTCTGGTAACCGAATACATTTAAACCTCTAGGGTCGCTTTAAGGCTCTAAAGAAAAGGCAGACGGCCCCATTCCAAACATTGGGCTGGTGCGAGGGAAGTGACATCACCGCATGTTCCTAGAAATGGCTGGAACCTGGCTCAACGCGCAGCTGGGGTCAGAGGCAGCCAGAGGCCCCAGCCAGTCCGGCCACAGCGTCCAGCTGATGACTTTTGGTTCCATTCAGAAACCAATGTAATTTTTTTGTGTTGCAGTTTATTTTGTGATCTTTGGAATCTTACTTTAGATTTCCAAATTTAAACTTAAATGGAAGCTCTTTCACCATAAGCAGACAATGTCTACAAAATACTCTCATGAACAATCCACTGTAAAAAGTCCAGGTCTATTGATAACACTGAAAATTCTATTAGCAACCTTCTGGGTTGGTCAGATTGATCTAGTGTGTAAATGAGACATTTGTATGTCTGCTCAGAAGTTAAAATTGGTACAGCCTGCGTTGGGGTAAGGAATTGGGTATCCATCCAGTAGCCCTACTTCTTTCAATAACGCGAATATTTCTAGAGTACTTGAGCCACATGTATTTTCATATTTAAAGAACCGCTAACTTTCAGGTAACCAGACCCATCTCAAAGAACCAAGAAAAGGCTTTAGCGTAAAATCTCTTTCTGAGCTGGAGAGTTGCAACGCGAGGGCAAGGGAGCAGCCTGCCATTCCCAGGACACTCCCACATGGTCAGGCTGGACTGTCACCAGGGTGGCTCGGGGCCCCAGCTCTGGCTGTCCCCTTCTCCATCGCTTAGCCTGGTCATCGTTTTACAGGATTGTAACTGGATGTCATGCCCGAGCTCGCACTAGATTTTGAAAAACTGGAGGTTTTATTAGTTGTTTTTATATAGACCAAAAGTTACCACATATTGTTGAGTAGTTTCTTAAGAATTTTCTAAAATGCCAACTATCACAGAATTTCCAAAATAATTTCAAACTAGTCATCATTTAAGTATATGACAAAATGTATATAAGTGAAAAAAAAATCTACCAAAAAGTGTGGAGGTTTTTATTAAATATTATCGTGCTCTCCACCTCACCTGTGTAAGGTGTCAGGCTGCTTTCTCCGGGTCATTACATGGTGACCCACCGTGACGTGTGAGAGGCAACCTGACCCGTTATTTGGAAAGAATTTGTGAATCTTTTCTGGGCTTGTTTTTGCCTAAGTGCTGATCTTCTCTCACATTATTGTTTCAGTTTGTAAATTTCACTACATGTAAGAAAAGTCCGTTTTTCTCGAATTCAGTCGCCCCAACACTGCAGCCCTGGTAACCGAAAGCGCCTGTGAATGTCTCAGAGGCGGCTGGGCTCGGTGTGGTCTGCGGTGAGCAGCTGAAGGGCTTAGAGGTTGGTGACCCAACACACAGGATCCAGTATTGACCAGAACGCCACCATCTGACCGAGCCCAGCCAGAGTTTACCATCCCAGGTGTGACGTTCCTCTGGGGGTGCCTGTTGCCAGGGGCAGGCTATTGACTGAGGGAGGTCTTAGCAGTGGGTTTTTGTCTAGAGCTTATCCGGTCCACACTTAAGACGCTGAGCATTGACGTCATTCAGATGTAAATGGCTTCTTAGCACCAAGTAGGAGGTGACTGAATAGCCAGTGCTGCTGACTCTTGTTGAATAACTGTTTTCATCTTTCTGAGGTGTGTACATAGATCGTTTTCTAGCCCTCAGCTGCCCTTACTGCTTTTAAAATAGGGTTTGAAACCTGCCCCAGGAAGGCTGCTCTCCAAAAACACTCACTGCAGGGCACAGAATGCCATCTCCTGAGCCTGCTCTCCTGACTTGCTGACGTGCCCACTTCACGTACCAGCGTTTCCTTTCAAAGGAAGGCAAGGAGTCTCAAGTTACGAACTCTCCCAGCCACCACAAGCACCATTCTGCTGGGCCCTCCCGTCCTGGGTCCCACACACCTTCCTGCTCAGAGTGAGGACACAGCCCACACGCAGCATGCGACGTGACCAAGTGACACTCTCACCAAGGCCCCTCTGACCTGATTCAATGGGAAGGGTGTGTGTTTACTGCGGAGGACCGCTCTGGGTGTTCGCGGTGAGGCCCACAGCCATTACACCGGGTGCATGCGTGTCGGTCAGAGGCGGCGCTGTCGGGTGTCACTGGCAGAAGGCCCTATTGCCAAGAAATCAACTCACTCCTAGAAACGTATTCTCTCGCATCCAGTCTATTTCCCTCACTATTCCTGAAGCAGTAGAATCAAGTTCTCCTTTCCGTGTCTGTACGTGTCAGGTCATGTCGTGGGGGTGGGATGGATGGAACTTCTCCCGAGTCTCTGGAAATGGAGGGAATGGGGTCGCCTTGTACATTTCAGCAGCGCATGTACCAGAAACCCTTGGACAGTGTGAGGGTTTTTCCTGAAATGTGCAATCTACTGTATAGTATTTGCCACCTATTTGTACATAGATGTATTCTGAATTCATGGAGGTTCTTGCTCAGATACTATTCGTGTTTGTTTTATATGAATATTTTTATAATACTAAAGAGATCTTATTTAAGTTTCCTTTTAGAAAACTGCACGGTCCTGTGACCCATGTAACTGACACTTTTGTAAGTGCAGCTTAAGGAGAGTGGCAAAGCCAGGGTGGTGTCACCTCCACGCTGCCGCCCACTGACGATCAAGTCATGGCAATGAGACGGCGCCACTGAAACGTGCAGTCGGTGGACACTGAGTGTGGTAGCGGGGACACGCTCCCCACGTGTCCCCCAAGCTGACTCAGGTTCCCTCCGCCCTCAACCCCAGATCATTCCAGGCCACATAGCTTTCTTTAGTCCTTCAGAATTCCCAGGCAGAAACCAGCTACAACAGCTGACAAAACAGCTGTCCCCACACATGACGGGACAGTCCTTCCTCTGTCTGCAGACAGGCGTGGCCTTAAGGAAGTGCTGTGTTTGGTGCTGGCGACCCTTACCAAGCTGCTGCCAGGTGGGGCGCACGAAGCACCACCAGGGACTGTCTCGAGCACTTAGGGCGACTAGCTACGGGGTGTCCTAGCAGAGGTCCGTTTTGCCACCCATCACTGCAAACACGAATTCTGACTACAGGCAAGGAAGCACACTACCAAACAGACTGTCCACTGCCCCAGAGGCCACAAAATTAGCCCAAATTATCAGAAAACATTAACTGGAAGGTGAGGCTTATCAAGAAGCACAGCTTAGGGCCGGCCGAGTGGCTCAGTTGGTTAAGAGCTCGCTCAAGAGTTTGAGCTCTGAGCAACAGTGGTTCGAGTCCAGCCCGAGTTGAGCAGCCGCTGAGCTGCCATCACGTAGCAGGATGGCTCAGCTAAAAAAAAAATAATAATAATTAAAAAAAAAAAAAGAAGCACAGCTTACAAGTGCAGGCGTGTATTTGGAGAGCATCCTAACTGCATTTCAACTCATATTTTAAGTGGCTTCAGTCAAAACTGGAAAACAGCACTTCAGATGTGGTCATTCTTTTCTGACTCAGTCGCTTGCTCAGTGACCTTTGGGCCACATTTCTATGTGTGAAGTGACCGTCCACATGGCGACAAGCAGGTCTCCATGTCTTCCCTGCTCACCCTTTCTTTCAGTATTTGAGGAAATGCACCATTGCAAAGGGTTTCTACCAGAAATCTGTGATTTGAGGCCTGTAATTCAAAAAGCTGCACATGTTTACAAAAGCGCTCTTATCCTCCACACAAACACATTGCTCTGTGAATCATTACTGAAAAATGGCACAACTTTGTGACCACAGGATGGCAATCTCAGATCTCCAAGGTGCTGTCTGGAATCAGATAAAATCTGTCATTGGCGATAACGACACAGCTGTTGTGTTTAACAGAGCTTTGTGCCAACACTAAAACAAAGCTTTAACCAAGGTCATAGACTCCGAGACGCCTAACAATTACCTCTCGATGCTGTAAGGAAACGTGCTGATTTGGTAGGAGGAAGAAGCATTTAGGAAAGGGTTTAGTATCTACCCAAAGTGCTTAACCTCAAGTAACCAACAGTAATGCAAACTTGCTTTAAAGGAACCAAAGGCATTGCCAAGTTTTTGCCAAAAGGAGGAGGCACTTTTTATTTAACATTTGAGACTAATGAGATCTCAAAAGTCAGTCCCAAAAGGTATTACCCATTAATTATCATTTTCACAAAGATGTAGATATTTCTCTATTGTTTTCATGTAAAATAGTATAGGTTTGTTTTGTTGGTTTAGGACTAGTACATATTTAGTAGTAATACTAAGTTTTTTCCTTTCTACGTACCAAGTAGTTTCCTTCTTTTCTTGCTTGCAATAGAAACGCAACGTGATAGGTGTTTCTCTTCTTTTCATTGTCACATTATGTCTTAGCATCTCACTTTATGAAAAAAAAGGAGAAAGATACCAATCTACAGAGCCCTGCTTATAAAAGCACTCGTTTAAGAAACAAAATATGATGGCAATCGGGGGTCCATTCATGTATTGCCTTTCTGTTGTTTTTTAAAAGAAAAACCATGATGCCTTTGTATTTGCTGTTTGCACCCCTGAGATCAATTCCATATCATGTTTGAAGGCCATACATTTTGCACATGTACTGTACATAGGTAACGCATACTGTATTTTATATGTGTGCACATTTATCAGATCTTTTGTACATAGTGGCAGTATTGTAGCTGATCGGAAAATGTTTGATATCTCAGCAATTTTGCATTTTTGTGTCTCAAATAAAAAACATTTTGATGTATTATGATTGTTCCTATGCAGAGAAAAGAGCACCTGAGGGTGAGGAGAGCCACTGTGTGCGGGGGCGGGGGGGGGTTGGGAGGAGGCCCCACCTTCGCAACACTCCTCACACCAGTGAGGCCCCCGCCCCAGGCCCTGACCGTGGGGTACAGAATAGAAACAGGCACTAGCTGAACATGACAAGATGTACATCAAAGTCATGTTCATTCTTCCACAGCCTTAAGGAGACAGTAAGCGGAAGTCATGAGACGGAGCTCCCGGGGAACTGGGACCCATGCGCGAAGAAGACTGACGCACTTCGACGGTAATTGCCACCGCCACCTTTTCTGAAAGACCCAAATAACCCTTCCATTTGGCCGAGTTTCAAAAGCAGCTATATATGAGGTGTTTTTATAGACCACAGAAAATGGTCTTTCTTTAGAATTCATTATTCTATTAGCAAGGTAGCATTTAATTTTCAACCCCAAAGCCAACGGTTACAATCGAGTTTTGAGGAGAACAGCATTCTATTTTCCTCCTTGTTTTGATGAAATAAAGTGAGTAATGAGTAAACATGATTGACAACCATAACTTTCACATAAATATCTGATTATGAAAATGGGCCCCGTTATCAACCACAGAGAGGAAAAGTCACTGCTAAATACAAGATGTTCATTATCTGGGACATTTAGAGACCAAAGAGCAGCCTCAACGGGTCAGTAAGTAGATGATGCTTTCTAGGGGCGAAAACATTTGTAACGTTATGTTAGCAGCCAAGGTCCTGCCCTCAGGGAGAGAAAATGATGGAGGGAGCACAGAAAGAGACGGAGCCGGGAGCTTTTAGGGAGAGACGTGGAAGAGAAGGGACCCGGAAAAGATTCCAAGCACAGAAAAGTTTGGGGGAGGTCAAAGCTAACGAGATGCTGGTTGAGGTGAGGCCCTGCTCCGTGCCAGGCCGCGGGCCAGACCCAGGCAGGAACCTTCTGGAAAGGCAGGTCACAGCTGGGCATTCCAGGATCCCAGTCCCCGAAAGCCTGGGAACCTTCTGTAGGTAACTGTTCTCTTTGGGTAACACAGGGCCTTGGAAAGCTTTCCAGATATGTACTGCACACCACCACCCTGTAGCATCTTTAAAATCCTCTACAGCGCATTTGCCCCAGAATCGAGATGAAAACCAAAACATTTGTAAATGCAGACACACCCACACACTTAGGGATAGCTGAAATGAATGACAGCTGGGCTACATCACAGTAAAACAACAGCAGGATTCCAGAGAAGACCAACTTCAGGACAGATGAAAACCACATGTGACCGACAGTGTCAGGTGTCACCCAGTCCTGAAGATTTCCCAAGTCACCTAATGCCCCTTCCTTCACCTCTCCTTCCACCAATAGCTTATCTTCCATTTCTGATGGACACTGGATTTCGGAAAGAAACCTCATCCTGACACCTGGCTATCTCTTCCACCCATTTTTATGACAAGTTTTTAAAACTAAACCCACATTGTATAATTAGACAAAAAACAGGGACCCTCAGCCACTTTGTGAATTCTCCTCTTGGCTATGAATGGATGTCAAATCATTCCAGAAGAGAGACCTCTGAGGACGGCCTTGTGGGTGATAACTCCAGGGTATTCACTCTGGTGCTGCCCAGACAGGAGACAAAAACCACCCAAAACCTGATGGATGTCAAGACTGGCGCTGTGCTGTGCAAAAGCCGGTTTGGCTGATGGCGAGGAAGGGCTTTCATCCAGGTTGACAGGTGAGAACTTAAAGGGTTTCCCATCCAGAGGCTCCAGGACAGGCCTTGGAGTGCTTTGCCGTGTTCTCAGCACAGCTGGCTGGAGTCCAGGTCATGCCAAGCGGAACAGCAAACAAGCCGTGGACGTGAAGTTCTCTAGACAAAGCAGGAGGTCGCAGTGGTTTTGTTACAAGACTTCTTGAAGCACTAGGAGTCTGCAGAGCTGTTCAAACAAGTACCCTTACTTTCTTTACTTACATTACGTCTGCTAAGCAATTTGGAACGTCGGCCGGGGCGTCACACTCACTAGAGAACACAGAAGCTACAGTGACCAGGTGAAAGGTGCACGGTACCAAGGGACGGGAATACAGTGGAGGCAAGTGACAGGATAGCAGCAAACGGATTAAACGGGGCTAGATGCCAGACCCTGCACCAAACACTTTATATATATGACCTCATGCAGCTATAAGTCTGTGAGCTTGTAATGGCAAAAACTGCTATTACTTTTGCACCAAACTAATAACACATTTTAACTTGGTAAACAAGCGATGTCTTGCAATACGAGTACTTTGTTTCCGGAACGAATTATGCTTGCAAACTGAAGTATTACTGTATTTTGTGCCAATCCTTTCCGGCCTGCAAAGATTCTGTTGAGGAAATCAGCTGACAGTCATGGAAACGGCCTTGTATGTAACTAACTCCTTTTCCCTCTCTCTCTTTTTTTAAATTCGTGTTTGCTGGGCTGAGAATTGTTAGTAAAGTAACATAGGTTTCAGGTGTACATAACTGCAGAGAACCTGAACAGACATTTCTCCAAAGAGGACTTACACATGGCCAATAGATGTATGAAAAGATGCTCAATGTCACTAATCATTAGGGAAATGCAAATAAAAACCACGATGAGATATCACCTCACACCTGTCAGAATGGCTATCATCAATAAATCAACAAACAACAAGTGTTGGCGAGGATGTGGAGAAAAGGGAACCCTGCTGCACTGTTGGTGGGACTGGAAATTGGTGCAGCCACTATGGAGGTTCCTCAAAACATTAAAAATAGAGCTACCATATGACCCAGCAATTCCACTGCTGGGTATTTATCCAAAGAAATCCAAAATACTAATTCAAAATAACACCCCTATGTTTACTGCAGCATTATTCACAATAGCCAAGATATGGTAACAACCAAAATGCCCATCAATGGACAACTGGATAAAGAAATTGTGGTAATCTATACAATGGAGTATCACTGCCATAAAAAAGAATAAAATCTTACCATTTGCAATGATATGGATGGACCTAGAGAACATTATGCTAAGGGAAATAAGTCAGACTGAGGAAGACAAATACAATATGATCTCTCTTATATGTGGAATCTAAAGAACAGAATAAACGAGCAAACAAAACAGAAATAGACTGAGATACAGAGAAAAAACTGATGACTACTAGGTGGGAGCAGGGTTGGGGGATGAAGAAGGTGAAGGATTAGAAAGTACAAACTGGTAGTCACAAAACAGTCACAGGGGTGTGAAATACAGTATGGGGAATATAATCAACAATGTTGTACAGAGCATGTAGGGTGCCAGAAGGGCACTTGTCTTTCATAGACTGTGAAGATGCCTGACCACTGTGCTGTACGCCTGAAGCTGACGTAGAGTAAAGCTGTCAAGCGCAGCATAGGGCGTATAGCCAATAGCATCGTGTTAGCTCTGCACAATGTCAGAGGGGTAGTAGACTTGGGGGGGAGGGTTATCGCTAAAAGAGGGGTGTAAATGTCTAATCCTTATGTGGTTTTGTACACCTGAAACTAATTTAAATTTTTTTAAATA